TCTTCGATGATGACACCGAAGTGTCAATCGGAATCCTTTTGGATGAGAAGCAAAAAGACGGAGAGTCAGTCGACAATTTTATCAAGCGTTTCCGTAACATGGCGATCCTCGTCAACAAGCGTGTCATTATAGGCACCAGAAAACCGAGGGAAACACTTATAGAATTCCCAGCATTTGGCATTCTTGAATTGCCTCACACGGTCAGTCCATGGTCGGGAAGGATATAACCACTTACATCCTTCTAAGAGCTGCAGCAAGGGGATTTCTGGATCAGACGCATCAGGCGCTGACATCATGTCCGATCGATGGAGAACTAGCCACGCCATCAAATAGGTGTACGGAAATTCGACGCTCGACAAAGGAATCTTAGTTGAAGGCTCGGCACCCACTTTGGTAAAGGTGTTGGCTAGGTTACGCAAACCGCTATGGAGGTCAGCAATCATAGCAGAAAGAAGAGATAACCTGCCTCTGACAACTAGTTGCACGGCGGGAAAGAGAACTTCAAGAGGAAGCGCCTCAGAAGACTGATGCGGCACTACACATCTCTTTAGCCAAATGGCCAGATAACCGGAAAGAAGAGTTGCAGGCTTCATTCTCTTTGTGGCTTGCCACAAGAAAGTGTTGAACTTGGTGCCCTTAAGAAAACCACCTTCAGATGACTCAGTTCTGTAAGACTGAGCATTAATCTTCGTGATTAGCTGGTTGACGTCAGAAGGGGTCAGAATCGGTGATTCACAGACTTCTTCACCGGTCGGGCTCTCAAGGTTCTGAAATAGGTAGTCGGCGAACTGTTTTAAACTGACTCGAGCCGCCTTCTTACTCTTCACTTCAATCTTGGCTATCGCTATCTGATAATGACAAGTTAACTCCCAGAGGATGTCATAAGCAGGAGAGCAGGCCTTCTTCATTTTCATCAACTGACGATTATTAGGAAAATATTCTTGGTAAGGAGTATTCCCCAATGGCAATCCGGATACCTTCATCATTTCGTGGAGCGGAAGCCCTAATTCCCCATACTTGGTAAGAAAGGTATTGGTCTCCGGAATATAAGACTCGAACAAAGCCATAAAATGATCTGCACTCACTGGGAGACCATGCATACTAGCTCGGATTGGAGCATATAATCCCAAATCCCGCAACTCCTGATCCCAACGATGGAGTACGTATTTGGTCATCCTAGCCCACCATTTGTCAGGAAGAGAATGAACCCATCCATAACACCTGAATCTTGGAATGGGAAGTTCTCGACCAACCCGAGCGAGCCTATTCTTTACGGTGTTGGCCCTTATCATCAGTTCGTTTTGGGGCCCACCATCTGGTCCAAATATACCAGGGTGAAGACCACGAACATCAGGCCTACCGACAGAGCCAGGAGCGCTAATGTCTTTACCAATGTAGCCACAATGAACGTGCTCATGGTCTTCTGTCAAGCGCCACGTCATTTCCCTCGAAACAGCCAAATTCCTCAATTGCAGAAGGGAGTACTGTCGAGGGAATGGAGGAAGGAATAAAAAAGAACCTTCATGTTCATTCAACCAGATTTCAGAGCCAAGGCAAAGTTTGTCTGGATCTTCTACCGAATCTCCGAACAGATAATCAGTCTTCTTCAACGGTTCAGTAGAATCTCGAATTGGAGTTAGGGGTGAATCAGTCAAAAGAGCGCGCAGGGTACGACGACCTCCCTCACGAACCAACTCTGGAATACTATTATCACGACCCTCACTAAACTGGCGGGCTTCTCTAACCAAGAAGTCGCCGTTGAAAGAGGCATGAAGAGTACCGCTTTGACCTGGATCCTCTCTATCAGAGAAGGCCACAGAAGGAAAGGGGACTGCAAAGAAAGGTTGGAAAACAGTTGGACCAAAAAGGCTAACAGGCGAGAAAACCCGCACTAAGCAGCCGCGACAGATGTGGCCGTCGCGCGTTACCGCGGCAGCATACACTGTCGCGTTCAGGCGCGACAGCACGAGTTGCCGCGGTAACTGAGCAGCGGCCTTTGATATTGAAAAGACACGAGTTCGACGAATACCCGTGTCTTAACTGTGGTACATGCCTTGATTGAACAAGGTATGTGTTTTGAAGCGTCAATCCCCTCGGTGGGGGATGTCAACTCTTCCCGAATGTCTCTCAACGGAGACAAACGAGGTTATATGCACAAAATCAATAATTTCAGACGAAGAGAAGTTGAAGAAGCTTACCCCCCAGAGAAGGAATGGCGGTCTCGACCTCATCAGGAGTTGGTGCTGTTGATTTCCCCTTCGAAACACGAGATTTCTTCGGAGACATGATGAAAACTGTCTAAGAAACAAAAATAATTAGGGTTTTGGTAAAATCCCAAATAAAATACCAAAATCAAACTCCACAACACAACCTAAGGGTGCGGTCTTACCAAGGATCAAAGTGAACAAAGGCTGGAAGATGAAAAGACCGGAGAAAAGGCTCGAAATCAGGAAAAAACCCTAAACCCTAGATCTTAAAACCCTAGGTTTTGTTTGAGCAAACGCAAAGACGAAGAGAAGGGAAGGGGAAAAGGTTCGGAAATCCTTTTAAAGGATGTTTGAAGAGGTTTCGAACTCAGAGAAGCGGGGAAAAGTGACCCGAAGAAGCCCAACATCAGTCTTATAACCCGACTGACTGAGGCGCTGCGCGGCACAAGATGCTGTCGCGCTCGAGCGCGACAGTCTATGCTGCCGCGCTCAAGCGCGACAGTATAAGCTGCCGCGGCAGCTAACCCACCAAGATCCACTTCGACATACAGAAACATGGTGCATACACGATAATTCTTCGGTGTTTGAACACATACATCTCCCTCTGTATTTGGAATACATTTCCGAACACTCCGATGAGTATATGAGTATAAACTGCATCTCCCTGAACCTCCCAACGGGTATATGAGGTTAAACTGTTTCCCGAACACTCCAATAGAGCATATGAGTATAAACTATTTCTCCATTTTTCAACAACAGTTCTGATTCAAGACTTCGACAACGGCCACGCGATAAACGCAGCACCGGAGGAATTTTAGCTATTCTACAAAGCACTGAGTAGACTAAAAGATAAAGAAGTCAAGGATTGAAGCCATTCACAGACCATTCTACGCAATTTCCTCAACAAAGCACTGGAGAGAATGTGCAAGGAAAGCTTATCATATCCAAAGTGTCCCAGACTCCTCTCTAAAAAAATGATGAGGTCTGAGATACTTTGGAGGGGGTAGTCATTGTAGGCGGTCAAAAAATATGTTACGGACATACCAAACTAACCTCCTTCAAGACAAAATAGAAGAACAATATACACGACAGTCATGACACTATGGCGCCAGCAGGACATGTCCGCCGGCCTATAGGCGCCGGCAACCCATGGTGCCGCGGCTAAGGCGCGGCAGCCTAGGGTGCCGCGGCTTAAGCGCTGCAACCTGCAGTGCCGCGGCAATTAAAGAAGGATGCTATGACAGTTATAAGGCAGTTATTGGATGATTTTTTGGAGTCCACGTGGCGGCGTATCAGAAATAGAACGTGTGCTGACGTGGACAAGCAGTTAAACCACGAAAAAAGTGGTTAAAGGTCGTGGGAGGACGGTTTTAAGCACAATGGAACGTGCTGATAACGCCAAAGAGAAAATACTCAGTCAGTTATCTTGCCCCCGTTTCAACTGTGGTGCACTGATACCCCTATAAATACCTCCCTAAGCACGAAATAAAGGACATAGAGCATTTTTGGAGCAGAAGAGACTTGAGTCTTTGGTGATTTTGAGAAAGAAAGAGAGAATTTTCACCCTTTGACAAGCATCATTTGGTGAATCCTAGAGATCTAAGCTCAGACTTGATCTTTGGAAGAACGGACATCTTACATCGATAAGATATTCGTTTTCAAATCTTTACTTCGATAAACGAAGGAGAGATCCCTAAACAACCTCTCGATCTACGAATCGGTGGTCCACGAACTAAAGCGTTCCCGGCACAGGCAAAGTCCCACAAAAGCAGGAGTTGATAAACAATTTCTGTGTTATTTTCTCGAGAGTTGTATTTTCTTTTATTTTCATTGTAATTCTTTGTAAACGATCAAAGTTTTAATGGAATCTGCAATGGAAACGACTTTCGCTGAAAACATCAATCAATTGGTTAAAATTTACACGTGCAATGCATATTATGTTTACAATGCTAATATGCTCTAAGCTTCTTTCTACTCTTTAGTTGTTTACTAATTATAATTAGATCAAATTTTTATTAATTGGTTATGAATGGAGGGAGGTTTAATTCGGGAGTTTAAGCTTCTTTATACTCTTTAGTTGTCAACCAATTCTAATTAGATTAAATTTTTATTGATTAGTTTTTAATGGAGAAAGCTTTAATTCAGGGGTTTAATTTTAATTTAATTGTTTTAGTTGATAACCAATTATAATTAGGATAAAAATGTCAATATTGAAAAGGATTATGGGTAAAATTGACCAATGAAAGTTTTTCAAGAACTCCCACTTTTAAAGGGAGTATGATATGATATGATATGATTATGGTGAAGCTGTTCGAGATGCTCTAAAGTGCTCATAAAAACAAAAGCCATCTCTATTTTACCTTGGTAAATGACAATCCTCCAAAAAGCTTCACGTTTTCAAGACTACACTGACAAAGCGAGCGTATGAAGGAGCAAACATCCGTAATCGATAAATGTATTATAAGTCAAATCATAATTAGCGAATCCGGCTTTGGGCTAAATCGGGCCGGATCATTAGCGGACCGGTCTAGACGTGACCCCGACTTTTGAGCGCGACCCAAACTGACACGGGCCCAAACCGCTGTCCATCTCGCCCGACCGAACCCATAACATCAACGTGTCGTTTCACTCGGTCAAAGGTCCCGGGGATCGTCAGATCAGACAACAGAAAACAGAAAGAGGGCGGGGCGGGGATTGTTAGGGCTAGGGTTTTGTAGGAGGGGGCGGATAATTCCCTAATCAAATTATAAGATGGAGGAGGAGGAGGAGGAGGAGGAGGAGGCAGGAGGATAAGAGAGGGAGGAGGAGGAGGGGGAGGGGAGGGCGGAGATGGGGCGTCCTCTCGTGGTTCTCGTTTGCGGGAGCCTCGTCTACTACCACTGCGCTTATCGAGAGTCGAGCATCCTCTCGCTGGTCTCCGACGTCCTCATCGTCCTCCTCTGCTCCCTCGCCATCCTCGGCATGCTCTTTCGCCAGATGAACATCTCGTAACTTTCTTTTATTCTCCCCCTCCCTCCCCTCCCCCCCTCAGTTTTTTTTTACATCATCGTCGTATTGGATCTACGAGCCGATGGTTGCTCATTCGCATCGTAGATCTAATTGTTGTCGGGTTCCGCTCCTTTCCCCCTAAATATTTTTTTCGATCTTTTGCATGAATAAATGCGAATCTGCTCCGATTAGGTTCTTATTAGGTGCTTGTTTTCTTTATGATAACCAAGAGGCACCATCAGAGCTTTTATTGTTCTACATGGTTTTTTTTTTCAGGAAATGTCATATTTTTAGAATTGGCACCATCAGAGCTTTTATTGTTCTTATTATTGTTTATCATTTTACTTTACACCATCTTAGCAACTTTAGATTTTTTTTTTAAAAAATTTTTTGTAGTCGAAGTGGATTTCTCATGAGATTGTCATTTTGAAAATCCTCATAAAATGTGAGGGGGTAATAATCAAATTCAATCATCGTAGTCATCTGTCAGAATCTGAATATGAAAAACCCAAGATAACAGATCAAATTCAAGCTTACCTTACCCCTGGCCCACTCTTCAAACCACTCTGTTTTCTCCGTGATCAGACCATGGTTCTCGTGACAAGTATCCATGTATGTAGTGCTGCTTACAGTGGACAATTAACATTAAGGAGGTTTTTGGCAATAGCTATAACCCTTCTCTGGCTGCCACAATTTTGGCTCAATTTTTCTATTGAAGGCCAAATCTTTCATATATAAAGCAGGCATAGGTCAATTGTTATAGTCAGTAATAGTTTGTAAAATTTCCATTTTAAGTAGTAATCAATGTGTCCCTGAATCTAATTCATAATATATGTAAATCTTTTGGATTTGCATTTGTGCAATTGCAAATCCCATGAATTTAAATCTGTTGTCACTGAATTAATTCATAGCATGTGTGTATTATTTATTTGCATTCACGCGCTTGTGGGCTTGCGGATCGAAAATTGTCTAGATGTTCTTTTTATTTATTTAGGTGTTCTTTTTATTTATTTATTTAATGGGAAAATTGTGTCGAGGCCCCAAAAGTAGGGACTCCATGTGACCCGGCCCCTTGTATTTTGGCCTATGTGGATCAGCCCCAAATACACACCGTATTTGTGTTTAGGCCCCAAAATAGCGGATTTCAAAAAAAGCCCAGCAGAAGTTATGAATGCACTCTTTGATGGGATTAAACTCGGTTACTGCGCACCTCGCTACTCAAGTACCCTCTCTCTTCTACTGCTGAGGAGCCACCGAAATTTTTAACTCAAAAAACTCGCCGGATTTCAAACTTGAGTAGGGTTTTTGCCGAAAAAATGTTGTCCAGGGAAGCAGAATCCGTTAACGATTACGAAATCGTTCATCGCGGCGAGTTGAAGGACAAACACGGTTCATTTGGGCTTGGCAGCGCGGAGGAAGCCACTCAAACCTTTATGGACATTCTCCTCTTCCTTATATACATTCTCCTCTTTATTATCTACATTCTTCTCCTCTTCCCTATCTACATTCTCCTTTTTATTATCCACATTCTCCCTTCCCTATCTACATTCTCCTCATCTTCCCTATCTACATTATCCTCTCCTTCCTGGGCTTCCAACTCCTCTACAACTTTACTGTCTACATGATGAATCTTTACACCTTTGTTATTTACATTCTCTTCTGCTTCCATATCTACATTCTCCTCTTTCTTATCTACATTCTCTTCTTCCTTATATACATTCTCCTCTTTATTATCCACATTCTTCTCCTCTTCCCTATCTACATTCTCCTCATCTTTCCTATCTACATTCTCCTCTTTATTATCCACATTCTCCTCATCTTCTTGCATGATGGGGTGTTCCTTATGTATTCTGCTTGATTTGAAATGTTGTTCCTCTTTAGCTACCTGTGGCTTCAACTTAATATTTTTTACAATTTTCTGTTTAATATTTCTCTTCAGCACCACCGAGGCTATAACCTCATCACGTCTTCTAAATTCTTCAACTATTTTGTTTAGCATGTTGATCTCAATCATAAATTCTTTACAATATGTACTCTTGCTCTGTTTTATGATAAATAGTAGTCGTTTGAGAAATTTAGCAGAATTTCTTCAAAAAGTAAGTTGCTGCTCAATTGGTAGAGCCTATACCTCCTCTTTATTTTCAAAAGCAGCATCAATATACTTTGCCATGATCTGAGATTATTAAGAGATCATATTATAAATTAGGATTAGACATAACATGGATATTGTTTACAGTTACGTGAAATAAGTTAGACTTAACAGGATACTTAGCCTATTGAGTAGTTCTTCTTAGCTTCATCCTCCTTCGCCTTCCTCTCTGCCTTAGGCTTATGATACACTCCTTCCTCAGTACTACGAGAAGTGCATATACATTTGAAGGAACATACCCAACTTTCACAATAGGCCTATGGACAAAAGTTATTGAAGCTGTCTTGGCCTTTGATGTAATTGTCCTCATCTTGTCATTGGAGGTCTGGAGCTGTCGACATAGGCATATTTTTTATGTCCGTCATCTCGTAGTACCAAAGCTGTAATAAATACAATAAGCATTCAAATTAGAACATGACCTCCATTAGAACTAACATGACCTCAATTAGAACTAACATGAACGTTAAGTAGAACTAACATGAGCTGCGATAGAACTAACATGAGCTGCGATAGAACTAACATGAGCTGCAATAGAACTAACATATACTTCATTAAAACTAACATGACACTAATTAGAACTAACATGAGCTGCAATAGAATTAAAATAAGCTGCAATAGAACTAACATGACTCCAAGTAGACCTAGTATGAACAACAAATATGATTAACATGAATTAGGTGAGATTTAACATCGTGTAAAGTTAGAACTAACATGGTATGAAAATAGAACTAACATGACTCCAATTAGTACTAACACAACTGCAAATAGACTTAACATGAATACAACTAGAACTAACATGATATAAATTAAAACTAACACAACTGCAAATAGAACTAACATGAATACAACTAAAACTAACATGATATAAATTAAAACTAACATAACTGCAAATAGAACTAACATGAATACAACTAGAACTATTATTATATAAATTAGAACTAACAAGATATAAAGTAGAACTAACACGAGCTACAATAGAACTAACATGACTCCAATTAGAACTAACGTGACCTCTATTATAACTAATATGAACATTAAATAGAACTAACTGAAAATAGAACTAATATGATCTGTGATAGAACTAACATGACTCCAATTAGAACTAACATGACTCCAATTAGAACTAACACAATTGCAGATAAAACTAACATGAATACAACTAGAACTAACATTGTATGAATTAGAACTAACGTGACCCAATTAGAACTAACACGACTACAGCAATAACTAACACAAATACAATTAGAATTAACATGGTATAAATTAGAACTAACATGGCTCCAATTAGAACTAACGTGACATAGTTAGAAATAACACGACTATAACTAGGACTAACATGAATGCAACTAGAACTAACATGAGTGTAGTTAGAACTAACATGATATAAATTAGAACTAACATGGCTCCAATTAGAACTAGAATGAACCAAAGTAAGTAAAACGTGGAACTTACACATAATAGTAGCATGCAACCTGGGACATGTAACCCCTGACTTCTTCTTGCCCTCCAAAGCAACTCCAATGCCTCTAATAATTTCTGCATGAAAGAATTGAGCCAATGCAACTCCTTTGACCCTCTTAATGCTATCCAGGTACTTGAGAACAGGTCTAGGGATACCTTCTCCGCTTTTAGGGCACCATATCATAGAGCATTGATACAGAATTTGCAGCAGAACAAAGTCGTGAATATCATTCTTTTCTGAAGATTTCACAAACCTTTCCAGTTGCCATTCAAGGTATTTTCGATGGGTGATTGGTGTTTTTTTAACTTCTTACCCTCTTCAGATTTGAAAAGATTAGCGAAGTATTTCACTCAGATTTTGTTTTTGGAGTCTCGATTGATATTTAGGACTTCCCCTTCAACTGAGAAAAAAGTATGGTTATGAACCCATTCTAAATCAAATTTAACACTTTTCATTTCCTTATTTTTTGAATCAGGGATAGAAATATGTTATTATCGCCATTATAATAGATCAGCAGCAGTCAAGTGTGGGGTGATCAGGCGCAGGAGCCCCAACTAATATATAATGCTCAAATATAGCTCCGCGATATGCATCCCTATGCAACTGACAAATCTTTGGGGCAATACGCTTCATAAATTTCCAATAAGCCCCAATATTGGTGATTAGCCTTATTGATTCAACCGCATCAGCATCAACAACTTTTTTCCCGTAAATAAAATCAAATGTTCAAGTTCAATTAGACCTAACATGAGCTGAAATTAGACCAAACACGAACGAGCTTCTAATAGAACTAACACGATCTATTATAGAACTAACATGGACTCAATCTAGAACTAATGGATTGTTCTAAAACCTAGCACTGTTTAAGATGAACTCAAATTAGGGAAAATTACGTCGAGTCCCCAAATATTGGATTCTAAAACCTAGCACTGTTTAAGATGAACTCAAATTAGGGAAAATTACGTCGAGTCCCCAAATATTGGATAACCTGCACTTACTGCTTTTTTGATGAACTCAAATTAGGGAAAATTACGTCGAGTCCCCAAATATTGGATAACCTGCACTTACTGCTTTTTTAGGTTAGGTTCGTTGGAACGACCAGCATTTGTTGTTCTTCTTTTCCGGTCTTGCCATTCTACTGCCTGCCTTTGCATGTCCATAAGGGTTTGAGTGGCTTCCTCCGCGCTGCCAAGCCCAGAGGAACCGTCTTTGTCCTTCAACTCGCCGCGATGAACGATTTCGTAGTCGTTAACAGATTCTGCTTCCCTGGACGACATTTTTCCGGCGAAAACCCTACTCAAGTTTGAAATCCGTCGAGTTTTTTGAGTTCAAAAATTTTGGTGGCTCTCAGCGGTAGGAGAGAGAGAGAGGGTACTTGAGTAGGGAGGGACGCAGTAACCAAGTTCAGTCCCATCAAAGGGTGACTTCGTAACTTCCGCTGGGCTTTTTTTAAAATCCGCTACTTTGGGGTCTAAACACAAATACGGTGTGTATTTGGGGCTGATCCACATGGGCCAAAATACAAGAGACCGGGTCACATGGAGTCCCTACTTTTGGGGCCTCGACACAATTTTCCATTATTTAATTATTTGGATTTTGACTTAATCATTCGGATCTGAATGCTTCCATGTTGAGCTTACATACCTGTAGAGCTGTTTGCTTTTGTAGGTAGGGCCCTGTTGCCATGACTATAAGCCTCAAACAACAAATGTTATTTTGTCACATTTATTATAAAGGCTAACAAAACATTTTACTAAGGGAAAAGAACAGATTCTCACTTGTTATTTTAAATAAGATCTTTCCTGTCAAATCACAACCATCATATCTAACAGGGAATGTATTTTTTATCCCTTGGATTTAAGTTTGTGCTCTTGTACACTTTGTAAATCAAAAGATGCTTGCACATGAACTTAAGTGTGTAATGTTTGGATTGGTGAAGGGTCTGTAGAGTATTAGTCTTAAAGGGAACATTAGGTGACAGAAATTCCATGTTATCATATGCACTTAAAGGGGGAATCCTGCTATCCAATTTGTAAACTTATTTTTTCTGTCTCTGTCCTTGTGCGGTTCATTTCGTAGTTAAGAGAAATAAGTTGATGTATATAATTCAAACATGTTTCAGTCTTGTATATATGTCAATGAATGTAACCTCATTCACTATTAAGTGAAGACCGTGATTTGTTATACTGATGGACCGAGTCTAATTTTTTTTCATTAATCCGATAATTGTGGTAACATCGTTCGCTGCGTATCACTCCAAGAGACATCTTGCAGAATATTCAATATTTCAATTATAGTTCTTAGATTCTCAACATGTTTATTTGTTTTTATTTGTCATTTTTCATATCTGGTACCAAGCACTTTTTTTGTACTTGAAACCGCATAATGTTTTAGCTGATACTCGATGATGATATCTTTGTATCATTTGACTGATAGATTCATCTCTTGACTTGGATATTGTAGTGTACCTGTGGATCCTCTTGAGTGGCAAATATCTCAGGATACTGCAAATGGTATTGCAGCATGCTTGGCTAATACAATAGGCGCAGCGGAATCTGTCTTGAGGGTGGCTGCAACAGGACATGACAAGAGGCTGTTCTTTAAGGTCATTGTCTCACAACTCTTGAAATCTACTTTGTGGATAACATTGACTATATATGAGGATGAAACCATGTCGTCCTATTATTAATGATATAAGCACTGATTTTGCATTCTCTAATTTCACGTCAATTTTTTACGAAAGCACCCGCAATGATTAAAAACTCATTGGATAAAATAACCTATGTCCCTGGCGGTCAACAACTGTTGGTGGGATCTCACTCTCAGTGAGTAAGATTTAATTTGGACTTCCATCTCAGCTTGATTTTTTCCTGCCATTTCCATGTGGATTAGACTATTATGATTGTCGAAGGACTGAAATATCTGAACTTAAAATAGCTAGAAAACAGCTTGAAGGTTAAACAAAGGCTTGAAATTGCCTATACTTTTTTCTGAGTCTTAAGAGTAAAATTTGGCTAATTTATTTTCATTAGTTTCCTCTGTAAGCTTCAAATTTTGAGAAAGCTTGGAGGCTAGTTTTCTGTCCTTTTTAGATATGACAAAATTTCAGACCTTGGTGTAGTTATCTACTTACTGTTTGGGGGTATGCGTCAATCTTGTTATATGGTAATTAATTACCAAGGATTTGTTATCAGTGTGGATATTGACAAATGTTTAATCTTATTTTTATAATTTCTCTCTCTATTTTTGAGTTTGATCCCTTGAGTAGATGTTAGTGATAACTTAGAATCACATAATTCCAGAACTGACTTAAAGCAGATTGTATTTATGCTTTCATTTATGTGTAAGAATTCAGCTGCCCTTAAGAGGCCCATAGACCACGCGTACCATCTCTTATTAATGTTAAATCATATGAGGTGGATCACAGAGCTGATTGCAGGGCAAAGATGGATAAATATAGGACAAACTATTGGTAACTCTGCATGAGCTTGCTTCAATTCATTATATTTGCTGCTGTTGATTTCTCAGGTGGTCCTTAGCCTGTATGTCTTGTCAGCTCTAGGTCGTTTGGCGTCAGGTGCAACAGTCGCTTATGCAGGTGTCGATGCCATACTTTTAAATATGCCCATGCAAACAATTGTATAATAATCGGTTTCTAATTGATTTCTTTTTGGGGAGTATCTTGAGCAGGATTGTGCTTGTTCTGTTTATACATATTTGCGCAAAGCTTCCAATCGGTCAGCAAATTTGCTTCTCGGTATTGGAGGAGAAGGGACTTGATATCTGGAGCTCAAGATGCAATGTAACATGTCAGTCATGTTCAAATAACCTTGTATCATATGTTGACTGCAGATGCATTAATTTCAAAATTTCAATGTAATTGTTACCTTTAGACATGGCTTAGTACACACCTTTTGCTTGTTTCACCATAAAGAAGATATTTGAGGAGATAATTTAGGCGATACGATGTTGATATATGATTTTAATTATTTATTTATTTATTTAATTTGGGGTTGGGTTTTCAAAGGTTTTGACATGCCTTCTTTTCCGTACCTTTTTGTCTCAGAAAAGAAAGAGAGGAAGCGTGCATTCTGACCTAGGATTATTATAAGCTCATGAGCTTGGTCTTTCTTCGTAGTATGGAAACGAAAGAAGCGCTAGACATAGCTTGCTTCTTTTTGGCCGTGAAGCAGTATAGAACCAGACTACCCGAAGAGCAAGAGCATCAGCTCTCGCTGATAATACACCGACTTCACATCCATATATATGGATGAATACCTAAATTATCAGGAAGGACTATGAACTCTCTGGCATCAACGACTTCACATCCATATATATGGATGAATACCTAAATTATCAGGGACTATGAACTCTCCAGCATCAAGAAGTCGTAGTTAAAAACATGAGTTGGCAGCCGGTAAGTTTCCAGCCACCCGAAGTTGTCATGCCTTTGTCATTGTCACTTGTAAAAGCTGAAACTCCCTGCTAAACGGAGAAAACTATTGAGAATCAAGATTCATCTTCATGCGATCAACTTTAGCACGATAGCAATGCCGGGTCACCGAAGTATCCTACTGCACATGGTGCTGTACGTAGTAGGCATGACCAAATTAATTAATTAATGGTAGCTCCGCAGCTCGCAATTATTCTGCAGCAGCGAGCGCTCTGGTGGAGTCTCATTAATTTCCTGATATTGTAATCTTTTTCATGTGCTTGTCCTTCCACGCCCTCCATTTTGAACCTTTTTTTTTTGGTTGAAGCAAAGCGATGTTACCGCCTTTCATTTGTCATTTGCTTGCTGATCTGCCATCTTCACCTGAAAAAACCAAATTCACGCTAATTAAAACTTCTTCTCAGATAGTGGTGTCTGGTGCCTTGCCTCGATTAGAAATCAAATTTGAAGGCCCTTTTTTGGCGAAGAGGTAGTGGATGGGTTAAGGGGGTTTAACTCTCTTAAATTTGTAGAGTTGGGTTTTCAGTCAATATACCCGAGCGAAACTCTAGGAGAGAGTTTCGACCTTACCCAACACCACCGTACCC